ACGAAGTTAATATATAACAAACCAATTTATTTAGGGTTTTGCATTTTAGATATTTCAAAAACATTAATGTATGATTTTCATTATAACTATATGATTAAAAAGTTTAGTAAAATCAAATTATTGTATACAGATACGGATAGTTTAATATATCATATATTTACAAATGATTTTTACACTGATATAAAACCTGACCTTTCATCATACTTTGATACCTCAGATTATGATACAAATAATATTTTTGAATATCCAAAATTAAATAAAAAGAAATTTTTTTAAAGGTTTTTTTAAAGATGAAAATAATGGTAAAATCATGAAAGAATTTGTGGGTTTACGATCCAAAATGTACGCTTTTAACTTAGAGAATAAGACTATAGCCAAGGCAAAAGGGGTAAATAAATGTATCACTAAAAAGATGACAATGAATAGTTATAAGTCTTCTCTATTTAATAAAAAAGTGCAATATTATAGCATGCTTAGATTTAAATCAATTAAACACACAATTTTCACACAAAAATTAAATAAGATAGGTTTATCATATAATGACACAAAGAGACATATTTTAGATAATAATATTGAAACATTAGCTTGGGGTCATTATAAACTGCGTTAAGTGTTGATAGTTTTTACTTTTATGTCTGCGTTTAAGAAAAATTTATATTGATTGTAAAATTATGATAATAATATAATATGACGTAGTTTATTACATATTTAAACATTGTTTTGTTGTAAATAATTTAAGTTAATTGTTGTTTCTATTTATTTGAGGTTGAGTTAATTGTAAAATTATGATGTACTAATTGGGTTAGAAATAGTATACAGATAATTCTGTTTTATATAATTTTTGGAATATATATTAATTGTTTACACCAACACTTTCATTTTTTATTTCACCCCTTTGAACTTTAGACGTGTGTTATGTTTCACTTTATCCATCCGTTCACTGCTATTGTGGCAGGACCAAGTGGGTGTGGGAAGTCAAATTTTGTAACAAATTTCATAAAATCAGTTACAGAAATATGTAATTGTGATTTTAATCAGATCACATGGTGCTTTGATGAAATGCAACCATTATATAATTTACCAAATGTTAACTATCATCAAGGAATTCCAAATCTTAATATGTTTGATGGTGAAAACCCACATCTTGTTATTATTGATGATCTAATGAGAGAGTCCGATGGAAGAATTGTGGATATATTTACAAAAGGTAGTCATCACAGGAATCTTAGTGTATTTTATCTAACACAAAATTTATTTCATCAGGGTAAAGGACAAAGAGACATATCTTTAAACTCAAGTTATATAATATATTTTAAAAACCCTCGAGATAAAACTCAAATAAGATATTTAGCAAGACAAGTATCACCAGATAACCCAAAATTCATTGAAAATGCCTACAGGGATGCAACTCTAGAGGCGCATGGATATTTAATGGTAGATTTAAAACAGAATACCAATGATTTTTGTCGTATCAAGACAAATGTCTTTCCATTTAATGGTTTCTGTACAGTCTACGTCCCCACAAAAGAGTTTAAATACACCAAGAATCAAACAATTGAAATCATTGCTAAATGATGCATCGTCGACTCACAACGTATAAACATTTGCTAACCGCTTTGCATACGCTTAAACCAAAATATCAAAGAGCATTACTTAAAACGTGTGATGAAGAAGAAATTAACTGTATTTGTGAGTGTATTCATAACGTTTTACAAGGAAAAGTACCTCTTAAAGATCAGGATAAACAAAAATTGAATAAACATAAAAACATACTCCATAAACTAGTACGTAAGTGTAAACATAAACTAAGAAAAAATATAATTATACAAAAAGGAGGGGCTTTCTTACCAACAATATTAGGTGCAATATTGAGTGGATTAGTGAGTGGACTAGCCAGTTAACATGGAAAATGCAAAGAAAATGATACTTATCGAACCTGGATTGATTGAAAAATTAAAACAAGAAAATAAGGTTAATAGTAATTTATCTCGATTAGATATTGAAATGCAAAATATTATGAATAGTAAGACGGAAGACCGAAAGAAATGGATATTATATTTACAAACACTGCAAAGATACCTTCATTTTACCGAAGAGGATCGTCAACCACTCAAATTACCAATTTATTCTGATACATCTAATGAAGATTCAAATGAGTCAAAAATTGGTTTTAAAAATAAAGATAGAGATCTAAAAACTTCAGTTGATATTGAATCTTTGCTGGAGGAGAATCGATCCATTAAAAGTAAAGAAAATGATGAAAATCCACTTTACACACCAGCTCAAATACTCAGTTTAATACCAAAAACTTATCATAAAAAAGGGCAGTTATTATTAAAGTTAGTTGAAACAAGTAAAAGTAAAATACATTGGGATAACGAAGGTACAGTCATAATTGATAGTGAAAAAATTCCTGGAAGTAATATTGTTGATTTAATAAATGATTCACTAAGACCCCTAAAAAGAAGTGATCCGGTAGGGTGGGTTAGATTTGCTGAAGCATTAAAAGATATTAAAGTACCACTTACTTATATTGGAAATCCAAGGAGATGTGAGTTTATTAACCAACTTCAAGCAAAAGATCTGAACAAACCCTCTGAGATTGAAGTTCAAGAGTTTTCTACACCGTGCAGTAGAGATAAAAAGTCTACAACTAAAATACGTAAAGGACTTGAGTGGGAAAAATGGACTCCGTACTAGAAGAAATTAACAGGATTTATTATGATCCATCTAATCCCGCTGGTTTTGGTAGTATTGATAAATTATCAAAAGCCATGAAGGGTAAAATGAATAAAAAGCAAGTAAAGGAATGGTTAAAATCACAAGAAACATACACATTACATAAACCCATTCGAAAAAAATTCCCGCGTAATAGGTACATTCTATCAAATATTAATGAACTGTGGCAAGCTGATTTAAGTGATATGCGAACTTATTCTCAATATAATGATGGTTTCAAGTATATACTTTGTATTATTGATGTATTTAGTAAATATGCTTTTGCAAGACCAATGAAAAAGAAAAACTCAGAAACAACTAAAGAATGTTTTGAAAGTATATTTACTGAAAGTAATTTAACACCTACTCACATACAATCCGATAAAGGTACAGAATTTGTTTCAAAAGATGTACAAAAATACTTTAAATCCAAAAAGATTAATTACTATACCACTAACAATCCTGACATTAAGGCCAGTATTGTTGAACGATTTCAAAGAACACTAAAAATGAAAATGTGGCGTTATTTCACTCATAATAATACTTATAGATATATAGATGTTTTACAAGATTTAATATACTCTTATAATCACAGCTTTCACTCTAGTATTAAGATGTGCCCATGTGATGTAAATTCCAACAATATTATGACAGTTTGGACTAATCTTTATGATAGACGGTCAAAAAAACTTTCTTTAGAAAATCCTAAACCAAATTTCAATGTGGGTGATTATGTTCGAATAACTAAATATAAACATGTATTCCAAAAAGGATATGAATCAAATTGGAGTGATGAAATATTTATTATATCTTCAATAATTGATAGATCTCCATGGGTTGTTTATACAATAACAGATTTACAAAATGAACCAATAATTGGTACTTTTTATGAAAGAGAATTACAGAAAATCACTTACAACCCCACCTCACAACATAAAATAGATAAAATAATTGACACTCGTTATTCAAGTAACAGAAAAGAAGTATTAGTGAAGTGGAAAGGTTATCCAGATAAATTTAACAGTTGGATTTTAGCTTCTAGTTTAAAAGAAATATGAATAAAGAAAGTTTCTATTTAACTTTGCTCAGCAATAGTTCAATGGAATACTTTCCTGATAACAAGACCACAAATTTTTCAACGAAATTACCAAAAGCTATAAAATTAGAAGGTGAATGGTCGGTTGGAGTTGTCGAGTTTCAATATCCATGTACCATGTTTACTGTTCAAGACCATGAAAATGTTATATACATTACAAAATCTATGTTAATGCCTAATGAAGATAAGCCATCCACAGTGTACTACAAAAAACATATTCCAGCTACCAACTATGATAACGTTGAGCATATTTTAAGAGTGTTAAATGGTATCGGAGAGAACTTGAAATTTCGCTATGATGAAATAACAAAATTTGTGTCTATTTCGGTATTGGATAAAAATATAACATCCGTAACATTATCACCCAAATTAAGTTTACAGCTAGGTTATGAACCAAATAAAAATCTCCTAGAGAGAAATTTTGGAAAGTGTCCTGCTAATTTACACTTAGGGTTACCATCTCAACTATTTCTATATTGCGACATTATCGATCCTCAGATTGTGGGTGATGTTATGACTCCTTTATTAAGAGTCATTTCATTAGATCCTACAAAATACATTTATGGTGCAAATAAAATGCACGTTTTCTCTCAACCTCACTACTTACCTGTTATGCGAAGAGAGTTCGATACGTTGGAAATAGTTATAAGATCGAGTACAGGACAAAAAATACCATTCCAGTTTGGAACCGTGTGTATTAAACTACATTTCCGAAAATTATAATAATGAATTCTCTTCGTGATCATCATAAATGTCCATATGAAAATTATTATACACATCAAGCTGGATCAGGAGTTGGAGTAATTTATAAGGGTTCACCATATCAACGCGGTCATGGTATTGGGAGCTTCTTAGGGGGGTTATTCAGATCAGTTTTACCTTTACTTTCAAGTGGTGCTCGAGTGATTGGTAAGGAGGCATTAAGCGCTGGAGTAGGACTTTTATCGGATATGGTTCAAGCCCGTCCTATGGAAGCCTCAATAAAAGATCGTCTAAAGCAAGTTAGTACGAATTTAAAACGAAAGGCTGATGAGAAAATTGATCAATTTAACATGACTGGATCTGGGTATAAAACTAAAAGAAAACGATTGACATCGTTCATTCCACCATTAACTGCTAAAGTGAAAGCTGCGAAAAAACTTAGTCTAAAACCAAAAAATATCAAAGATATATTTTCAAACTAAATATGTCTTTCCTTCATAATCATTCTTGCGAGTGCGTTAAGTCAGAATTGGATTTGTTTGCACTACCGTCTACACAAACTAGCATTGAAAATGGATTGTGGATTCATTATAAACCAATTTCATCTCTTGGTGATGATGGACCTATCGAGTTTCAAGTTCCTGGGACCGGCGATGACTACATAGATTTGTCTCATACATTACTCCACATAAAGGCAAAAGTATTAAATCAAGATTCAACTAACTTGGTATCTACTACAATAGTAGCACCTGTAAATAATTGGCTGCATTCACTTTTTAGTCAACTTGATATTTATTTAAACCAAAAACTTGTATCACCACCTAATAATACCTATGCATATCGAGCATACATGGAAACCCTTTTAAACTATGCCCCTGCTGCTAAACAATCTCATCTTACTTGTAGTCTTTGGTATGAGGATACAGCAGGAAAAATGGATTCTACAGATGGTAAAAACATAGGATTTGTTAAAAGACAGGAATTGATTAGTGAAAGTAAGGAAATAGAAATGATTGGTCATCTTCACGGTGACATTTTTAACCAAGATAAAATTTTAATTAATGGTGTTGAAATGAGTGTTAAATTGGTTCGATCAAGAGAGAGTTTTAATTTAATTGTTGGGTCAAACGATGTAAAGTTTAAAGTTTGCATTACGGACGCAACTCTTATTGTGCGACGAGCACGAATTAATCCAAGTGTATTACTCGCACATCAAAAAGTTTTAGCTTCTACCACTGCTAAATATCCTATTACTCGAGCTGAAGTAAAAGTTTTAACAATTCCTTCAGGTGTTCAAGGAAAAACTCTTGATAATATATTTTTAGGACAGGTACCGAAAAGATGTATAATTGGATTTGTGAACAATTCTGCATTTAATGGTTCCCTTACTAAAAATCCATTTAACTTTGAAAACTATGGTATTAATTCTTTCAGCTTATATATTGATGGTCAACAAATACCTTCAAAAGCTTTGCAACCATCTTTTAATAATAGCATATTTACATCAGCATATCATACTCTATTCTCGGGAACTGGTATTCACTTTCTTAATGAAGGAAATGGAATCTCTTGTGAACAGTATGGCAAAGGTTACTGTCTATTAGCATTTGACTTAACTCCTGATTTATCAGCTAACTCATCAACTCATTGGAATCTCATAAAGCATGGTAGTGTAAGAATAGAAGTACGATTTGAATCCTCATTAATACAAACAATTAACTGTATAGTTTATGCTGAGTTTGATAATATTATTGAGATAGATAAAAACAGAAATGTTACTGTAGACTATAGTAGTTAAGGTTATAATATGTGTTGTGTGTTAGATTTTATGTGTTATGTGTAATGCATTTTGTGTGTATGTAACTATGTGAAACGTTATAAAATTAAATAAAACAAATTGTATGCAATATATTTTTTTTTATTTCTTTATAAATCTTCTATTTAATCTACTACAAAACACTGTTCGAGTTGAAATTTTACATAAGCACACTGACTAAACCACTGAACATGCTGCTGCCAAGGATCATCATCATCTTCCCAATCTTTTAAACCACCACCACAATGGAAACACTTGGTCCCGTCTGCATGGCCAGTATAAAAGAAACCAGCTTCTGCAAGATCTTCAGGTTTCTGTCGCATAACTAGAGGCCAGTTTTCGAAACTAAGCAAACGGCTAGATTTTGAACTGAAGAATGGATATTCAGCTCTTGAGTACTGCATACTCTTCTCGTTTTCTTCTCCACTCAGTGTTGTAGTTTTGTTATTCAATGATGTGTTTTGTACACGTATGCCACACTCATCTCTTCCTTCCGCTCTTGTCTTCCTGTAATTGAAGTAAACAGAATCACATTCACTAATGATCAGCTAATGACTGTCATTGTTAAAAAAGTATTTTTTAACTTTTTCACTTTCTGCTATTGTCTTTGTTATATTGTATACGAGGGCGTTTGTGTTGTCGTAGATGCTATCCTTATTAGTCTTTACGTAATATTTAATTCTAGTGGAAGCATGTTTCCAATGATCAGTAGTTGGAATCTTGGATAGCTTCTTCATATCGTACATTTCAATTTTGATGAGATGCGTCGCTTGGTCTCCGTCGTCAGAATTAGTAGAAATGTATGATACACCATCTCTAGCGGCTCGTGCTACGGTTGATGATAACAGCTTCCTCTTTTTTATTTTTGATTCAGCTTCAAAAAAATGATCAATCGATTGCGATTTTCTTTTTCCACCATCGCATGTGTTATTATTAATGACGAGGTTATCACTCTCTTCTTGAGGGGAGAGTGGCGAGTAGTAATACTGTTTATAGGTATCTTCATCGAAGCTCAATGATTTCTGCAACAACACAGTTATCATGTTAATATCAATTTGTTAACACTTAATCATAAAAGTTAAAAAAGTTAAAGTTACAGCCTATTAAAGTCCACTGCTGAACATAGGCCTCCTCTCATTTCTGAGAGGGTTTTAGAGCAAGGAAATGTCCGCCGCGCTCCCTCAATGTGTGTTGGCGAACTTCACATGCCTTCGAAATTTTCTCAGACATGCAGGTTTCCTCACGATGTTTTCCTTCACCACCAAGCACGTGGTAATAAGCACTTAAAATTGCTATTAACAATTTAATTGGTGCTGGCGGGGATCGAACCCGGGTCGCGTACTGTGAAATTTACAGCTAGCGCTAACCATCTGAGTTACCACGGCTTAATCATATACATACACAATATTTAAATAAAATAATACACACACATGAAAATAACAGAAAAAAAGTAATTTAGTCAATAGAATAAACACTTACATCCATAGCCTTTGGTGTATTGAAGTAACACAAAATGTACTATTGATAGATCCACTGTAGCCAAACGACCGTACACTAACTCGATGACTGCGTTTGTTGGTCTTATATACCACCAGTACGTAAAAATTCTAATCTAAAGTATTTCCGTAATGAGTTGATAATTACTTTATGCGTCAACCAGTTTATCTCACATTTCCGTTGCCTATCTCAACATTTCTTCGTATTGTGTTTTGTTTGGTGATCAATGACTCAAGTACGATTTGTATAACACAAAAATGCAATTTAATATGTAGAAATCACTATAATTGACCATTCCTATGTTATTCATTGAGTAGCTAGGTACTGTAATAATCTACTAATAGCAGTAATATCATGGATACACTAGATGTACAACAACATCTGAAAAAGATTCACCCCAGTCTAGAAAATAATGTTTATGCAGCTAATAGACTGCCTATGTATACCCACGTACCAACGTATATAATATGTAATTTGGATACAGATGATAAACCAGGGTCACATTGGGTAGCTTTATATATCGATACGAATGACGTCAGTCAATATTTTGATTCATATGGACGATCACCTGTACGATATCATCTAGAGTTTTTAAAAAGGAATTGTAAAAGATGGAACTGGAATGTTGATAGGATTCAGAATGAGTGGACTTCAGTTTGTGGCGAATATTGCTTAATGTATTTACTATATAAGTTTCAAGGATGTTCAATACATAGTTTTACGAGTATATTTACAAGGAACACATTGTACAACGATATTTTAGTGGATGAGATGTTTCGCTCCTATTTTATAGATAATAATTAATAAGATTTTGTATTTTATAAATAAAAATTGTAACAAAATTATGTAATGTGTTTTATTGATGATTCAGATTAGCGTTGTATAAACAAAGAATTATAATAAACAATAGCACTGATATAGTCGACGCACACGCTGCAATGAAGGTGATTAAGGAACAATAGAACAATAGAAATAGGAACAACAATGGGACGCTAATGACGGTGGAGGCCCTTACCGGATATCAATTAGATATTAGCTAATTGATCTACACATCTCTGGAACCGTGCATTCTACACAAAAATGGACCGCGGATTCGTGATCAGAGCATGCCAAAACCTTTTTTTTTTTTTTTTTTTTTTTTTTTTACGATCGGGCGTCGACGAACGTCGTTGAACCACGTCTGACTCAGGTGGTCTAGAAGTGGTACAACTACACTACTTTCAACTCAATCTATTTTTGAAACTCTTCATCTATCATGTGGAAAGTCATGGAATGTAAATGGCAGTTAAATTTTGTTTTGTTTGGTTATAATTAAGTTTTTTCAGCTAAGAAATGGAGAAATTTTCGGTGTTTTAAGCGGCCTTGTACTAATATATCTTAGAGTATTAATATAAAGTTAAAGTTGAAAAACTTAAATTGTAATAAATGTATTTTAGAAATTAATTTTCATGATAAGTTTTATGTAAATAAAATATTTCTAATTTTAAAATAAAAACCGGCCAAGTGCGAGTCGGACTCGCGCACCGAGGGTTCCGAACAAATCCCTAGGTATATAAGTTTAAAATTATTAAAAACTTTTTTATTATATGATGTAACATTAAAAAATACAATTTGCCACTATGTCTGGCGTATGTGGACTATGAGAAAGCCTTTGATTCCGTCGAAATTTGGGCGGTGCTGCAGTCCCTTCAGCGGTGCCAAGTTGACTGTCGGTATATCGAAGTGTTGAAGTGCTTGTACAGTAGGGCTACGATGGCTATCCGAGTACAGAACCAGAGTACGAAAGCTATCCAATTGCAGAGAGGTGTAAGACAGGGTGACGTCATATCCCCGAAACTCTTCACCGCTGCATTGGAAGACGTTTTCAAGCTTCTGGACTGGAAAGGATACGGTATCAACATCAATGGCAAGTACATCACTCACCTTCGATTTGCCGACGATATAGTCCTTATGGCAGAATCGCTGGAGGGCCTAAGCACTATGCTCAATGACCTCAATAGTGTTTCCCAACGGATAGGTATTAAGATGAACATGGACAAAACAAAGATCATGTTTAATGTCCATGTCACACCTATGCCGGTAGTTGTTGGGAGCACTAAGCTCGAAGTTGTTGACGAGTATGTTTACCTGGGACAAATAGTCCGACTAGGTAAGTCCAACTTCGACCGAGAGGTCAATCGACGGATTCAACTCGGCTGGGCAGCGTTCGGGAAGCTACGACACATATTCTCGTCAGACATACCTCAAAACCTTAAAACAAAATTGTACAACCAGTGCGTGTTGCCAGTGATGACTTACGGAACTGAGACGTGGTCCTTCACTGCTGGCCGTATGAGGAAGCTCAAGGTCGCTCAGCGAGCTATGGAGAGGGCTATGCTTGGAGTTTCTCTGCGTGATAAACTTAGGAATGAGGATATCCGCAGTAGAACCGGAATAACCGACATAGCCCAACGAATTAGTAAGCTGAAGTGGCAGTGGGCCGGCCATAAAGCTCGAAGAACCGACAACCGATGGGGAAGAAAGGTTCTCGAGTGGCAGCCTCGTACCGGTAGGCGAAGTGTAGGGCGTCCCCCCACGAGATGGAGTGACGACCTGGTAAGACATGCAGGAAGTCGATGGATGCAGGTGGCTCAGGACCGTGCTTTGTGGCATTCTTTGGGGGAGGCCTATGTTCAGCAGTGGACTTGTGAAGGGCTGTAATGATGATGTAACTAAAAATTTATGCTTTCCGCAATTTTTCCTTTATCTGTACTACAAAACGTTGCTTTGTACCAAATTTCAAGATTCTGAGTTCACGGGAAGTACCCTGTAGGTTTTGATTCCGTCCGATTTTCGTCCAGGAGTTGCAGTAGTAGTCACCAACGTACACCATCAGGTCTCTCCATCAAGTCCGGAGGTAAGGTCTCGTCATAACTAACAAAACGAGCCCAAACTCGCCATACCTAGTTCTACTCGTCCAGGAGTTCCAGTAGTAGTCACAGAAGTACACCATCAGGTCTCTCCATCAAGTCCGGAGGTAAGGTCTCGTCATAACTAACAAAACGAGCCCAAACTCGGCATACCTAGTTCTACTCGTCCAGGAGTTCCTGTAGTAGTCACTGAAGTACACCGTCATGTCTCTCCATCAAGTCCGGAGGTAAGGTCTCGTCATAACTAACAAAACGAACCCAAACTCGGCATACCTAGTTCTACTCGTCCAGGAGTTCCTGTAGTAGTCACTGAAGTACACCATCAGATCTCTCCATCAAGTACGGAGGTAAGGTCTCGTCATAACTAACAAAACGAGTCCAAACTCAGCACACCTAGTTCTACTCGTCTAGGAGTTCCAGTAGTCACCGAAGTTCACCATCAGGTCACTCTATCAAGTCCGGGGGTAAGGTCACATCATAACTAACAAAACGAGCCCAAACTCGACACACCTAGTTCTAGTCGTCGAGGAGTTCCAGTAGCAGTCACCGAAGCACACATTCAGGTCTCCATCCAGTCCGGAGGTAAGGTCTCATCATAACTAACATAATGAGCCCAAACTCGGCACACATGGTACAACTCGTCCCGGACTTCCAGTAGCAGTCACCCAAGTATACCTTCAAGTCACTTCACCAAGTTCGGAGCTGAAGTTATCATAAGTAGCAAAACCAGCTCAAAGTCCACAGCCAACATCTCACTCCCTGTAGAGGGCTTCTAGTACCTAGCTGTCTCTGGCGCAGCCATTTATATTTCGTATCTAAGTATATTTTTGTAGGTATAAGAAATATGAAAAAAAAAACAATCTTTCAAATTATCAAAATGTTTATACTTGATTGCGATTCCTGCAGCTAACCGTGCGTACACTTGTGTGTGTGACCAGTGTCAATGTAATAGTTCGATTCTATACCTATCAATTTTGTAAACGCGTCCTTAAAGAAAAGATGGTACTGTAGACTATAATGTATTCAACTATTTATAAATGCGGCACTAATAAACTATATACACAGAGGGGAGTCTTCAATGGAGTGTAAAGTCTTCTCTCTTGATTTCTTCGCTTGCTGTTGTCTTCGAGTGCTGCTTCTGAAACAAACAGCTCACAGACTAAAACGCCCTTCTTATATCTCGCAAGAGAGCGTCTCAGTATGTGAGTAGCGTCGTGAGGTAATGCCCCGCGCTGTTTGATCGGCGACATCGCGTGATCTGTTGGCGGTGTGCGGGGTGCGCGGGGCGCAACGGGGTATGAAGGGGCGACGGGGCGGCGGTTCCCCTCGCCATCCGTATTCCGTAACAGTTCCATTGGCATAAAGTCCAAACAAACACATTTTTAATCCAACGCTGCTAAACGGAAATATACTAGAGAGACTCCAAACTGGATTGCGTTTCTTTCTAATGGATTGCTAGCATAATTTTTTTAATGTTGGAGTTCTGATGTAGCTCATACAATTCTAAATTATTGTTCATATAATTACAATCAACAAAATTGTATATTTTTATTTCTGAAGTATATTTAATTAAATAATAAAAAAAAAATTTAATACAATCAGGCGACGATTTGCAGGCATTTCTCAATGAATTCGATAGAGAGAATCGCAAGGTATTATTGGAAATGAACACCTAGAAAACTAAGGTCATGAAAAATGGGAAACAAACCAATCTGTGTCAACAACAATGTTATTGAATATGTGAATGAATACATCTACGCCAAATAATTTCACCAATAGATATATCTACTAAGGAAATCGACAGGCGTATAGGAAAAGCTTAGAAGCAATATTGCAGTTTGTTGTTTATTGGAGAACAGTTGTATTTCACCTGCCCTCACATATGACTGCCTATCCTGGGCTTTGACCAAAACCCATACTATTAGAAAACTAGAAATTTGTCAAAATGCCACGGAGAGAAGTATAATGGTCCAGAACAGCTGCTAAGAGAGATTTTTGTCGAGACATTGGAGCAGGCCTTTGCCAAAGAAGTTATCAAGGCAATTGGAAACAGAAGTTAAATAGGAAAATTAAAGTAATATTTAACTGATGTAACTATATCTTGTAATACTAATATTTTGGTATCACTTCCCGAATAAAGCGTTATTATTATTATATTATATTATTATGTATAAAAATAAATAACTATAAAACGTTATTCGTATGTTTGAAAGTATAAGTAAAAACCTTTAATATTTGGTTAAAATTGAGTTTTTCCTGACTTCTTTCATATCTTCGAAAAATTATCTTAGAACTAAAAAACACATCATTCTGCAACGATGGAGGATTTACACCAAGATAAAAAATAAATGTAATTTAATAATTACATTTTTACTAATGTATTATACAATATTATCTTTTTGAAATAGTAGCTAGGTATAGTTAATTCTAAAACTTCACTATTTTTCTGAGGTTTCAAAATAAATTGACTCTTTCCACCATTTCATGGCCAACATGCCTACGACGCGCCCACGCGACGACCACCATAATTATTGTGTGAGACGTGACGTGAGAGTTTTTTTTTATATAACAATGGTTACTGTGAGATGATAATAACTTCTGAGAATGAGGTTATCGCTACCATGCAATTTTTTTCATTATTGTGTAACTTTAATGACTTTAATCGTAAACTGTAGTTTTTTTTTCAAAACATAAGTCCCGCTGGGTTTCTTGCTGGTTCTTCCCAGGACTTTAGGGACAGAATTTTACAAACCAGTGGTAAATTAAGCATAAGAGTGACTTTCATAAGTATTTTATATGATCTATTTTGAATGAAAAATTTCTATTTAGATCTATTTCTATCTTAAGTATTTAGTTTATTTCTATCTAACTTATATTTTTTTTAGAAAGAGGAAAAGAGGGTGAACAGAGAGATATATATATATATATATATATATATATATATATATATATATATATATATAATCTATAGTTTCACAAGGAATAGGATAGATTAAAAAAACTTTACTTATTATCACAAAATGAAATGTCCAAGAGCCATAACATTTTCAATAGTTCGTTACACAACAAATGTATGCTACACTTCATTTTATCTTTAGGAGTACTCATTTTTATATTCAGTCATCCCCGTTAATCTCAACGATCACTAAACTAGACCTCTACCAACCACACGCGTACCGCACCCACTCTTTGAGCTACGGCTACTTTATGGCCTTAACTGCGGTTGAAATGCCTAAATTCTTGGATATTTAAGTAAAAAATTACAATAAATGTTCATTTAATCCACAAAGAAAAAATACAGAAGAGAATTTAATAAATGTTTTTAATTGAACAAAATTGTATTTTTGTTAACCCTTTATTAGAAAAAAAAATCCCTAAAGCCTACCTAACCTACCATTGTCATATTTTGCAAAATTTCACTACAACGCAACTAACTACACTAATAAAAAGGTCTTAAAAATATTAATATTTTTAATTGAGAGTTTTATTTTTATTCCCCGTTTTATAAGAGAAAATATAATTTTTCTCTGAAATTGAATATATTTGCGCGAGCGTGCATGCCTCGTCGCCCTGTAATCACCCGCGAGCCCTGTCCACGGGTAGTAATCTTCATAGAGAAAATACTGGACATGTGAAACGTCATAGCAAGATGATATATGACAGCTAACACACCCTCGCCTCTCAACATCCCTTCTAAGCATGGAGTATAGAGTAGACTACTCTATACTCCATGCTTCTGCTAGCTATCGCTGCCATACTGTTTTTGTTTGTTTTGTTTTGTACCAATTTTTATCAAAAAATGTACAATACTAAGAAAAATTTTCTACATGGACAGACAAGAAAGACTGTGAACATATAGAAACACGGTTATTACACAAACTGAACGACAAACATGTTATTCCTGGAAAAGTAAATTAAGGTATAAAATAATTGTAATTATATTTCAATTACATGTAATTTAATTTTTGTATGTGTAATACACGTTTTTCTAATCAAATTGTTATGAATTATATACAGGTTAAGAATTATGTTCCTGTATTTAGTAAAATCGTGGAAGGACCCTTTAATTATACCTCTGCATTTTGTAAGTTATCATATTAATTATTTTATTAAATATAATTAATACATAGCACCATAAAACTGAAGTGTTTTACATGGCTAGTGGTGAGAACCAGATGCCTTTTTTACTGGTAACAAGGCATTCTTTTATCTTCAAGGATGACAGTGCATTTTGATACTTAATTGAGGATTAATGTAGGTGTCTGTTGGCCACAGCACAGCAGTAACTTAAAATACTGTATAGAGTTTTTTATTTAATATTTAATATTTTATTTAATAATATTTCAAATATATATTACAGTTCATTATTTGGATGTGCGGTCCGTGAGCAAAACTACTAAAATACTGCAGAAATATTGTCTTTCATGGATGACCTATTTGACAGTGTGAATGGAAGTGCAGTGATAAATAAATATGAATATTGATACAAAGTAAAGTAATAGGCTATACTAGTCCCTCTACTGGGCCAGGACTCTTTTTATTTCTGAGAGGGTTTTAGGGCAAGGAAATGCCCGCCGTGCTGCCCCAATGCGTGTTGACAAAAATTGCAATTACAAACTTCATTCGTGCTGCCGGGGATCAAACCCGGGAAAAATTTACAGCAAACGCTTTGACCCAGAGCTACTAATACGACACAAATAAATACGATTTAACATACATAATAAAAACTCTTACGTCCTTGAAACTTAAACACTTGATAGCTCGTGATGCCTACCGGACAAAGCTACAACACCACACCGTGCAATGTAATTGAAGATGCGTAACCGCGACATAATTCTCAGTGATGCAACAGGCAGTATGTCACTTATATAACTGTCACCTCTGCAGTCTATTAATCTTTGCACTTTTATAAGTAATACAGAACGTAGTCGCTAGACGGTGTTGACCAAAGAGAATATAATCAATACGTTTAGTGTTGACGTCGGCTAAAATCTCTGCGATCGCCGTTTCGTCAAGGTCATTCAGGCTAGTTAAAGCCTTAATGGCATAAAATGAAAACCTAAAGGTCAAGACTTTTTTCCTGTGATTAAATTAAGTATATTTTTTATCGTGATTAACATTAAAGTATTTTGAACTGACCTTATCATTCATTATCTCTATACAAAGGACAACACATTTAACTCTTACAACATTTGATTTAATTTTCTATTTATATCGATATAAAAATTCTTAATCCAGTTATTTAATAAATATACACATGAATATATTTTGATAAATTTTTAATTTATTTAAAAATAAAACTGTGGTAATAATAATTGTAATTGTGGTAATAAAAAATAATAATTTGTGTAATATAAGGAAGATTTAAGTGTCATCCCTCTTAAATAAAAAAATTCTGCATAATTCATTTTAATTTATTTTTTGTTTAACATAATCGTCGTTAAATTAAAGTCCCGTATAATGATGATTTCTATATTTATGCGAACATTACACATTTTGTCGACTATCATGACGAAGAGATCAGATTGGAACGTCGATCAGGCGAGGTAGCATTATTGATTTTTTTATATTTCAAACTTTTCGATAAGTTTAAAAAGCTTTTGATAGAATTTCACGTCAGGCATGCAACCTGGAGGCAATTCGTTGATTTTTCTGAAAAATGTTTTATATCGCGCTTCTTTTTCTTGAACAAATATCTGTGGTAATTTTAATTCCTCATACAATTCTCGAATTTTATATACATGGGTCGGATCACAACTGCCATAGCATTCCTTGAAGATGCGTCGTTGATCTTCGTTACTTAGCTCCAATGCTTTCACTGCTAACCAAGAGCATTTGCCTTTTTGAATATCCGTAGAAGATTTTGTCAATCCATTCCAGTTGTAAAAATCTGTGATGTCATTCTAAAATAAAATAAAATAAGCATTAATATGTATCCAAATGTAAAAGACAATAAGGATTACAACTTGCAACAAACATTTTCTCGATGACTAATTCAGGCAAACGAGCCATTGTAGCCCAGACGTTGCTCATTTATTTTATAGTGTTCTCGCTACCTGACTTTAATCCTCCTTCGGCAGCCATGAAACTATGAAATACATTTTAAGTGCTAATTTACCACTTTCTCGGCGTTGAACAAAAATAACGTGAGAAAATCTGCTGCCAAATAAAATATTTGGTGGGATTGTGCATTCCACCAATATACTGGCGCAGTGCAGCGGACTGACTACTATAGCCATTAATCTCTTAGAAATGAGAAAAGGTTTATTTCCAGCAGTAAAATCTTGTATATGCTGCGACTACTTTTAGGCAAACATACTGATTATTGACACAAGATTGTGATGTACATTTATGTCAGTTGAATATTAAATTACCTGAATCTGAAATAATATGCCCATATCAACACAAATGTTGTGAATTTGTTGCATTGATTCTTTAGTGGCTCTGTTTGATAAAATGAGAGCAAACATTATGGGCGCCTCTAATATGGGAAATGCCATTTTCATTTCGTTCATTTCACAGTAACATTTCATAGTAAAGTTATCGAAATTTCGATCTCTTTCTAAAGTTACATCCATGTGCTGCCCCATCGCGGTTAAAAAATAAATCTGTAATAATTGCAATAGTATACATGATTATTAATGTAATAATTAATTATTTCACTAAAATGTATGATATTGGCACCATTGAGTTATATGTACTACGTACTAGAGCAGACGCCTCAACTCGATTGTTTGTAACAAGAGTTAGAGTGCGCGCTCTCCAACTCAGTTAGTCTGTGTCAAGCGGTTGCTGGAACGTGAGACGTTTGAGTGAAGAATTTTTTTAAATTAATTATGCCTTCATAAGCATTGGGATACTGTTCAAACAACTCGAGAAACATAAGTAAAATAATTAATAGAATCAGGCGTTACTTTGCGGAAATCCATTATATAAAAGCTTTTACAAAAATTTACTTCGCAAATATCCGCGTTATAAAATAAAATGATGTGTTTTACCTAGTATGAAGAAGCACCTCCCGCCCTCCCTCAATTGCATACCGCTAACCGCTAACCACCGTAGAGTCTATATCACCTGAGGATGCCTCGTGTAGAGACGAAACACGTGTCGTATTATCGTCAGTGGTGTGTCTTGCCTAGTGTAGTGGTGTTGGAAGTAGCGGTGCTGGGATTAGTGGTGACGGGGATAGTGCACGCAATTGAGGGAGGGCGGGAGGTGCTTCTTCATACTAGGTAAGACACATCATTTTATTTTATAACGCGGATATTTGCGAAGTAAATTTTTGTAAAAGCTTTTACATAAGTAAAAGTCAAGGAGTGACTTTTAACCGGTAAGTTCAACATATTATTATCTTTAGAACATGGTTAATTTAATTATATTTTATCAACTGCAACGTACACGTGAATGTCAAAGATTAAAACATTTTTATGCACAGACATGACACTATCGACATATAATGTTAAGTAAATATGACCAGTAAAATATTAATATATAATCACGGTAGGAAATGTTAATGCATTAAAATTAATATTTTCTCAGCCGTGTCATGAAACAAAAGAATCATGGATCAAATTTGTTCAGACAAATTGCAGCGAAGAAACGTGGTTACCGTCAAATTATTCAAATATATGTTCCGTGCATTTAAAAGGCAACTACAAATACACCACAAAAACAGGAAGAGTGTACTTAAAGAAATCTGCAGTACCATCATCATCATCATAATCATTATTACAGCCCTTCACAAGTCCACTGATAAACATAGGCCTCCCCCAAGGAATGCCGTAAAGCACGATCCAGAGCCACCTGAATCCATTCACGTCTTGCATGACCAGATCGTCACACATCTAGTGGGGGGACGCCCTACATTTAGCCTGCCGGTACGAGGTTGCCAGTCGAGAACCTTTCTTCCTGTTTCTTCCCCATCTGTCACCCTATATGGCCGAACCCATTGCCACTTTACCATACTAATTCTTCGGGCTATGTCAGTTACTCTGGTTCTACTGTGGATATATGATAACGTAATTATATTATTTATATATATGAACGATTTTTTGTAATGTTCAGTATATTTACGAGACATAAGAGAGGCGGAAACTTCGGCGCGCGAGTCATACTAGTATATGGCCGTTTATTAATATTGTAACGCTAGAATTTTTACAGACTTCCCAAATAACTAGTTTTTTTTAATGATCTTTAATGAAAAAGAATAAACAGAGCACGCATTATTTATTATATACTGCATGCACCTTTAATTATTCTCCAGCTGCGTATAAATATGTAAGAGAATGCTAGAAAAGTAATAATAATGATCTTCGATAATAAATGTATATTTTTATATTTTACATATTTACTTTTTAAAATAAAATATCACTAAAATATAATTCTGACATAATATATATTATATTATATTAAGTTAACACATATGCAAAATAAATAACAATTAAAAAAATTGTACTCGATATAATTAACAATACAATCTAAATAATGAATTACTTATTACATACTGATCATTCTACCTACGTATATAATCTATGATGACAAAAACTGCGCATGCGCGACTCTACTATCTCCCGCGCATGCGCGAAGACATAGAGTAGCGCACATTTTTTGTTTGGTATAGCTTCTCTAGTACGTAGTACATATAACTCAATGATTGGCACACATAATTTGAAAAAAATATTGTTAAGTCTACTAATCTACAATTTATTGATTTAAAATTTGTAAATTATCTAAAGCGAACATATGACTACGAGTTTTAACATGCCTTATTAACAACTTCCATAATTTTGAAAAACAAGGGTTCCGAGAAATTCTGTTGCAACAGTTCTTGTATGAAGCTACGCAGCAAACATGCGTCGTTCATGGCTAATGTGCCAACGTCTGGTAACAGATGCCAACAAACTTTACCAAAGCGTATTTTTCCATCATCTTGTATATCGTCGGTAAATAAGAAGTAAGATGCACCCTGCAAAACAAGGTTTGTTAAATGTTTTGCACCTACGTTAAAATAGAGAAATCAATTGGATGATAAAAATAATGACGGTAGAAACAGAATCAGAGACGTTTCCATTCAATTTATAATAGAAAATAATACTTATTGAAAGTCACTCTTAATTTTAATTTATTCTGGTTCGGAAACATCTATTTCCTGAGAAGAATAATCAAGACACCAAACGGGACTTTTTTTGAAAACAATAACATTTTATAATTATATATATATTATAAAAGTAGCAATACAAAACAAATGAGAAATAGCTTCGTAGCGATCACCTCATTCCCAAGGGTATTAGTCAACCATACATTCCTTAATATTATAATAATCCTTTGACAAACTTTGTTTATTTTAATTTCGTTTTAATGTATATTGGTCTACAATAAACAATATATTGATTGATTAATTCAATGATTCAGTAATAGTCCAGTTCATAAAGATGACTGAATGCATCATTATACCGTGACACCATCGATCATATTTTTTTACATAATATTATATAACATTAACTAATGAAAATAAAACTTAAATTCATCGTGTTCCAATTTTTACGTATGATAATATGTGCAATTTATTGAGTACCTATTTACTAATTTCAACAGTGGTACAGAGCCACGCGGCAGCTTTTGCTGTCGCACGGATATGCCGGCTCGAACCGGGGTGGTACCACGACCTCACAGAAAACCAGCGTGAAGTAGAGGTTTACCTCTGCGGTTCGCATGTTGAGTGCAGGTGGCCGGAGGCCCTTTTTACTGGAAATGCGGCATTCCATCTTAGTCCTCACGGGTGACAACGCATCTACATTTTGATTTGTAATAGAGCATAGATGTAGATATCTATCGGCCGCAGAACCACTTACCATCTGGTGGACTGTGTGCTCGTTTGTCACCCTTATCCTATAAAAAAATTATTCGGCCGTGACAATATTATGTATTTGATGAAATGTCTGTGCCATTGAGCTAAATAAAGTGGGTATTGCATTGTACATGACCCAGAGAGCAAGATTAGCTATGACGGTGGGCATATCAAAAATTTGTGACGAACACCGGGTATCGACTGAATGATTCGAGTACAATGGTATATTTTGTTAGCGGGTTAACGTAATATAGATAAATACATAGCAACTGGTAGTTTATTTGCATATTTCGCTCGGAAATCATCAATGTCTAACTGCAGGAGCCGCTTCCTATCAGGTGGACAGTAAGTTTATTTGTCACTTCCGTTGTATAAAAAAAATATACATTCAGGATCACCCCCGTTATTACATCATATTTGATAGACCACAAATTCTTGCAAAAGTACATCGATTCCTACACATAATATGATTCGCGAGGCCATTATATAATTATTTTACTGCATTTTAAGCATTTTTTTATAGAAGAGGGGGCAAACAAACATGCGGCTCACCTGATGGTAAGTGACTACCGCCGCCCGGAGGAAGCACCCCAGTGGGTGCCCAGTGCAATCGGCACTGGATGAGAACAGTATTCAATGCGAGGCTGGACTTGCGCTTTGTAAAGTTGCAAGCGATGTGCCGGCATGAAATACTCTCGCTCTGCTGATCACGCCAAGCTTTTTAGAGGCCAACTTGGCCTTCCCTTCCAAGTTACCACAAAACTGCACACTATTCGATAAGTCGACGCCGAGGATTCCGATGGTAGCTAAGGCAGCAAGGGATGTGCCTCGAAACTGAGGAGATACGACAAAGGGGTTCTTTTTACCGGTAAACGCGCAAACTTGTGTCTTCTAGGGATTGAACTGCTCTAGGTTTAGTCTCCACGTTATTCTGCTCTTTCCAACGACAATTTTTTTCCTAAAATAACTCCTGAGATTAGCAATAAAAAAATTGAGGATCCCTTATCGGGATAAAAACTATCCTATCTCTCAATTTGGACCAAACTGCACACAGTGTGCAAAATTTCAATAAAATCAGTTCAGTAGTTTAGGAGTTCATCGCGGAAAAACAATGTGACACGTAATTTTTATGTATAAAGAGATATATATATATATCTCCCCGTTATTCTGCCCTTTCCGACGACAATTCTTTTCCTAAAATAAAACTCCTGAGATTAGCAATAAAAACATTGAAGATCATTGAATATATATCTGAATTCATTCGGCAAAGGTAAAATTATGATAGCCAAAATAGAAATTAGAAATTGTTTTAACAAGAATCTTGAAAATATACCTACCATTTCAATAACACAGGCCAATAAATATGCCTGATGTCGTTTTTCTTCATTCCAAGCTTCTCGATCTTCCAGCATCGCATAAGCATACAGCATAAGTTCTCCTAGCTTTGGCTTTTTTTCTAAAGTGTAATATACTGTCATCTGAAAGTATAATACATACTTGTAAAACCTGTCACCGTATTATGTCTAATGGTTTCAAAGAAAGGTCCATTAAATATAAACGTCCATTAAAGACGGGGTGGGCCGTAACTTTGCGGTGAGCATTTTAGTCTATTACGTCTATTTTTGCCTACAGTCGAAGCTGTGATAAATAACCGGTGATTGTACGGTAGCGTGATCTATGAAAGGTGCTAATAAAGAATTATTTTAATTTAAATAGTTGTTTGATATAATAATTAATATATTTATATACAAAAGAAAAGAAATCTTTGTGATGAATTTCATCACTTATTCTTTAATCCCAAAAATGATCCAATGTGATTCTGTCGGATTCTGTCCCGCGCCGCACCACCCTGGCTCTAGTGGATATAAAGTATATAATAGGTGATTTCAGCATTGTGATGCGGCCCGACCCGCAATTACTCTGCCCGACTAGAGGACGCCTAGCTCAAGGAAATCTCAGAAAAATCTTGTACCTATCTTGCGAAATATTACGTGTTAAGAGAATGTTTTAATATAATGTATTAATTCAAACCACTTTATATGAATTATGTTATATTAACTTACTTCTTTTATACGATTCCGAATATTCCGCGAGTCCAAATAACAAATTTTTGATAAAGCTTCATCGATGATATTTGGAAAGATTGTTTGAAAGTTATCGACAAACTCCTTTGAAAATGAAACTGATTTTTCAATTCCGTCATTTCTACAAGTAAATGCAACAAAAAATACTTAAAATAATTTGGTCAACTCATCGTTTGTGTTATTGTTAACACATTACTAGAAATACTCGTGTAACACTGACAACCGAGTTCGTTACAAATATAAATTTATCATCATTATCTTTACAGTCCATCAAAGTCTTCTGCTGAACATAGATCGCCCCAAAGATTACTACATGAGGAGGATCTTGACATAGTTGCCATGCTTCGTAGGCGAGATGACAACCAGAGTTTTTTTTTTAATTTTCTAGTAGTTATTAGGAATACATTGCTGGCTATCTACTGGTTTGTTTCCCTTAGTTGCCATTTACGACACCCACGGGACGATAGGGTTTAGTGGATTTTGTACTACACTATTATAGTACACACTTCGTGTTAAATTAAGTCGTAACATAATTATATTTTAAAACTCGTTTTGAGAAGTCATAATTTAAATGAAGAAGAAAACTCGTTTTTTTATCCTTGCAAGATGCATACTTGAATTTGCTTCTAACTTGACGGCTCCGTGGTGCAGTGGCTTAGCAATAAGTTGTTGCGCTGGGGGCCGAGGGTTCGAATCCCGCACGGAACAAGTATTCGTATGGCCTGCAAATAATTGTTCCGGGTCTTGATGTTTGTCCTCGTGAAATTTATGTTTGTAAAATGCCTTCACGACACAGTAGAAAATCCTAATGTGGGGGGGGGGGGGGGGTAACGTTTTTAAAAACACATATAAAATAAAACTAGATTAGAATAGAGAGTGACTTATTGCGGTATTTAGATTCAGAATACATTAGTAGTCTTTAAATATTTTAGATGTTATCAACTTTTAAACTTTTTATAATATGTATTACGATTCCTCATTAGGCTAGTGACTCAATGTAGTGTGACACACCTTTAAGAGAATCCATTGCTATATTTCTTCCCGTGGGAGTCGTTAGAGACGACTATGTGAATACCATAATAATCATATGTCATAGTTTGCATCAGTCGTAAAATACCCAGCCCGGCGACGGAGAATACTTTCAATTTATTGATAAAGACAAATCCCTAACAATTTATGTAGCATTCACATAAAAGGCATTATATAATCGTAGCAGTATATAGTAGTAATATCAGTTAAAATACAAAATCAAATATACATTTCAGAAAAAATTAAATGAAACTCACCCATCGGGTAAAATCCTTGATTGATCCATTGGGTATATGAAAACTTTAAAGTACTCAAAAGAAACAAGTTTTTACCTGTATTTTATTCGAGTGTTTTACGTAGAATGACTATATGAAGTGAAATAAAATGATGTTATATCCTTATACAAGGTTGTTTTTTATGCATAAGAGCGCGGCAGAGGTCGATTTGTTCATACAATCGTAATTCCAAAATCGTTTTTTAAATTCAAACTTATTTTCATAATTTATAATATTAATGCGCATTTGGGTTATAATTATTTAGGATCCTTATTTTTTTTAAATTACTGCTTCCTAAAAAAATGTCAGCGAAGTGCATTTTGTGTATTTTTTATCATAAATTTCGACCTGTTTCTTCTCAGTATTTGTTTTGTAATGACAACGATATTATCTTACACTTTTTACACCAGTTTTTTTTATTCATTTCTTTATTTTATTCCCTATATTGTCAATTTTTATGGTAAAAACAAGAAAAGGAAAATAGGTAAATTTTTTACTCATAACCATTCGTATATCGGCACACAACCAAATAATTTAACATATTATGAAGTTATGAACAGACAGAACATGTTACACAGGTACGGTCAGAGAAGACAACCGCGCGCGCCATTATTCTTATTGCGCGTCGATTATGTACTTTGCGTGTATAATAGTTCGTTTACTTAATTGCAATTTGACGGCTCCATGGCGCAGTGGCTTAGCAATGAGTAAGAGTACTGAGTGCCGCGGGTTCAAATCCCGCACGGTAGAATTATTTATATGGCCTACATATAACTGTCTGGGCGTTTTTCCTGTGCAATTTAGGTTATGCTGCCTCTATGATATAGGAGAAACTTTCTTCAAATGTTTATCATTTGAAAAAATTATTTGTGAATTTAGGGATATTATTGAGCTATGTTTGACTTGAGTTTAGATTTTGTGTGACATGGACGTTACGAAAATGACCTTTTACTTGTACATATTCATATTATTCAAAATCTATTCTTTGTCTCTCTTGTCTTACCACTATTGTATATTATAGAGGTGTTTTTTAAAGGATAGGGTGACAAACGAGCACACAGTCCACCTGATGGTAAGTGGTTGCTGTGGCCCATAGACATCTATATTTATCCTCGTTTGCGAATCAAAATGCAGATGCGTTGTCGCCCGTGAGGACTAAGATGGAATGCCTCTTTTCCAGTAAAAAGGGTCTCCGGTTCTCTACACTCACCATACGAAATACAGCAGTTTTAAGCTGCTATTTTACGTTGGTATTCAGTCGTCCATTTTAATCGCCCAAAAGTGTACCTGAACGGATGGGATTTGGAGGAGATGTGCCATCCATGTTGCAGCTATATTATAGCTGTAGCACGTATGAGTCGGCTCAACCGGGAAAAACCACACGTTCACAAAATACCAGCGTAAAATAGCGGCTTAATGCTACTGCATTTTCGGTTAGTGTATTAGTGTGAGCCTTTTTACTGAAAACGAAACAGTTAATCTGAGTCCTCAGAGGTGACAGCAGATCTGCATTTTGATTTTTATTTATTGATTTTTTTAGACCACAGCATCCACCTAACATAGGGTGGACTGCGTGTACACTTGTCACCCTTATTCTATAAAATAAAACCAGTAAATTATCAGGTAAATCAGCATTTAAAATAGCAATTATCAATTTCATTGGTGCCGACGGGGATACAACCCGGGCTGCTAGCGAATATCGTTTATCAATATTAATTTAAAAAAAAGGAAAGGAATAGGGTGAAATATGAATACCTATAACACAATTTTTTCAAATTAGTTAAATAAAATAAAAAGTAAGAAACACCTGCTTCGGTCTCGCCTGGATTGGATCTATTAATGGAGCGATATTTAGATTTCGGATAATCAAAGACCATTTATTTTATCAATTTTCGAATTGTTTTAGAAAAAAAAGGGGATTTGATCCATACTGCCCTTGCTCTGTTACTGTTCGTAGTTTTATTATAATCGGTTCAACAATTGCGAAGAGTAGCCCGGAAAGACAGACAGAGACAAAAAATTTAAAACGGTTATTTACTATGCCTTCAAATAATCCCCTAAGCTTAATAGAATCCAGTTATTTTAATATTACGGACAGATACGGATAGAATATTTTTAACGGTGGTAGAACCATGCGGCAGCTTTTGCTGTTGCACATATGGGCTGGCTTGAGCCTTGTTCCACTGGTGCAGGTCTCAGAGACCCACTCCCCCACCCCCTCCCATCAACATGGTAGCGGAATTAAATCAAAGACTACCCTAGGAGGGTACCGGCACCCTTGGAGAATTCCTCGCTGAGCATCCACGACCATGCTACTCCACTCCTGAGCGTGAGTGCTCAAGCTGCCTTGCGTATTCTGTGGGGGGACCAAAATTCCGCTCAAAACAATAACTGCTCGAGGCAAACTGAGCAACAAGACCAAGGCGACCCCTGCCACGCTATCCGAGAATTTCTGCAACATCATGGGACTTCACTAGAATCTAAACACAGTCCAGTACCATCTAGAGACGGCGAAGCCAGCCTTGCTCTTTCTGACCTAGACGTAGGTGTCCTCTCCGGATGATAATTCGTATCTCTCCTATCCGGGGTACAAAATGCAACACTCCTTTGTGCTTCAGGCTGGAGTTTGCGTATACGTCAGAGAGGACATCTGTTCTCGACGCCTCGGCAGTTTGGAAGGTTCGAAACTGTCCATCCTTTGGCTACGCGTAGATAGCGACGCCCATCCGCGCGTCTACGGGTACCTCTATAGGTCTCATAGCGGTAATGCCGAAACAGACCGACTTATCAACGACGTCCAAATGGCTTCAGATTCTTTGCTACAACAGATCTCAACCGCAGAGATCATGATCTTTAGCGATTTCAACGCCCACCATGGCAAATAGCTCGGTTCACGTTTAACCGATCATGCAGGGAGATCTGTTTATAACTTTGCCTTGGCATATGGTCTGACACAACTAGTTACTTCGCCTACGCGGATTTCTGATGTGGAGGATAATACACCTTCCCTATTGGACCTTCTGCTGACCTCTCATTCGAACGGATATCAGGTTTCTGTCGAGGCACTTCAGACCATTGTCTGATCTGGAGTGTGGTGCAACTTACGCTCCCCTCGCGGTTGCGTTCTGCAGGTTGCCGCAATGTTTGGCATTAGAGGTCGGCGGATTCAGACGGGTTTGCTTCTCGCCAGATAATCCCAGCGCTGTTGCTGACTCTGTCACTGATGTGGTGCTACAGGAAATGGAACTATTTATTCCATCATCTGTGGTACCCATCGGAAGCAGAACTCAGCCTTGGCTTGGTCGCTCCTATAAGACTGCATTACGCAGTAAGCAGGAGTGTTATCAGGCCTGGGCTGAGACTTCGGCGGCTTGGGATGTAAACACCAGAATGCTTAAAAAGAAGTATAACTTTGCCTACAGGTCCTTCAAAAGAGTTATTGCCAAGGCAAAGTCAAAGTACATATAGGCATAATTGGCGAGAAACTAGTTCGTCTTCCTTCGGGAACCCGTACATTCTGGTCTCTCGCCAAAGCTGTCAAAGGGAATTTCTGTAAGCCATCACTACCATCTCTGCACAGGAAAGATGACTCACTGGCCCACGCCGTAAAAGAGGAAGTGTACGTTTTAGGCTCCCTTTTTGCGTCCAACTCGACTCTTGATGACGGGGGGAACACACCGCCGACCATCCCGCGGTGTGAGTGCTCCATGCCAAATGTGCGGTTCACACAGCGCTCGGTTTGCAAATCACTCTTCTCCCTGAACATCCACATGACGAATGGGCCTGACGGTATCCCCACAATTGTGCTGAGAACGTGTGCTCCGGAGTTGGCACCGGTTCTAAAGCGTCTTTTCTGGTACTCCTACTCCCTAGCCGTAGTCCCGACATCATGGTAGACAGCTTCCTTCCACCCTATCCATAAAAAAGGCGACCGCTCAGACCCGTAAAACTACAGGCCTATCGCCATCACTTCCTTGTTCTCTAAAGTAATGGAATCCATTATAAACTTCCAGCTCATGCGGTACCTTGAGGATCACAGCTGATTAGTGACCACCAATTCTGTTTTCGTCGGGGTCGGTCAGCTGGTAATCTTCCGTTCTACCTGACTCATAGATGAGCAGAGGCAATAGAGTCGAAGGAGGAGGCATTGGCCGTTAGTTTGTACATAGTGAAGGCCTTCGATCGGGTTTGGCACAAAGCACTTCTTTCGGAGCTCCCTTCCTATGGACTTACGGAGAAATTGTGCAATGGCATCACCAGCTTTCTTGCAGATCGGAGCATCAAGGTCGTTGTCGAGACGATGCATGCTCCGAACACAAGCCTATTAACGCTGGTGTTCCACAAGGCTGCGTGCTATCACCAACGCTGTTTGTTGTGCATATCAATGATATGTTGATGCTCTATACACTGGTGATGCTCTATACACCAGCCGTGCCAATATTTCTCGGGAAAACGTTGCCGAGTACCGAAAACAAACATGTGTCTGAAGTCAAGTCTTTGCTGAACAAAGTCTCGGATTGGAGGCGACTAAATCTAGTCTAGCTTAATCCTCAGAAGACACAAGTTTGCGCGTTTACCGCTAAAAAGAACACCTTTATCGTATCTCCTCAGTTTCAAGGCACTCTTCTTGTTGCTTCAGCCAGTATCGAAATCCTCGGCGTCTACATATCGAGTAACGTGTAGTTTTGTGGTCACTTGGAAGAGAAGGCCCAATTGGCCTCTAAAAAGCTTGGCGTGCTCAGCAGAGTGGGACAGGGTTTCATGTCGGCACAACACCTGTTACTTTACAGGGCACAGGTTCGGCCTCACATGGAATACTGTTTCCATCGCTGGGCTCGGGCTCCCCAGTGCCAGCTCCTTCCACTGGCCCGTATCCAGCGCAGAGCGGCTCGAATCGTCGACGACGGAGTCCTTTCCGATCGGTTTGATTCATTGGCGCTGCGAAAAGATGTTGCATCCCTTTGCATTTTCATCTGTGTGTCTGAGTGTTCTGAGGATTTGTTCGGATTAATTCCAGCCGCCAAATTTCACGAACGCACATCGCGGCAGAACTCCCGATACCATCTGCACCATCTGGATTATTGGCGGTCCACTACTGTACGATTTAGAAGATGTTTTTTTCCTCGCACAACTTCCTTGTGGAATCGATTACCACCAGCAATTTTTCCGGATTGATACGACTTAGGGACCTTCAAAAAAGGAGCTTACTCCTTTTTAAAAGGCCGGCAACGCATCTGCAATTCCCCTGGTTTTACAGTTATTCATGGGCGGCAGTAGTCACTTACCATCAGATGAGCCGCATGGTCGTTTGCCCCCTCTCATATAAAAAAAGATACACAAATACAAGTTTATACGAGGCTTTCAAATTTTAAGTGATTCTTTTGGAGTTTTCGGTCTCATTACACTGCGTGGTTCATTATAGTCTCGGTCCTAAACTTTGGTTAAACAAGAGTCTTTTCACGAAATACGTCTATTAAACGCAGCACCATAATCTTCACGAAATTTGAAATTACCTGTCTTTCATCACCTTTTAAGGTATTGGACCTTCCATAGAGTATAATGAATAAATGAAGAAAGACAGATATCAGACAGACA